CATAGAAGTTAGGGACACCTGACATACGTCCCTTCCCTGAGGCTGCAAATCCTGGAGATTTAGAATAAATGTTATCTCAGGTCTTGTGTTACTTAAGGGTGGAATTCACATTGGTTTGTGTTTGGGAAGAAATTTAATAACAATATGAACAATTCAGGGATTATTCTAACACGGAATTATGTGTGTTCAATAACAGCTCAATAAATTTCAGGGGCCACATGCATTCTAATTACCTTGTTGCAGATTTAAATCAGTAAGTAGTTCCTCTGTGAATAGAAATTACGTCTGACATTTGTTTATATTATCAGCAGAGTACACATTAAGTGACCAGTTAATGCCTGTTAACTAAGCACATGATTCAATGAATGAGCTCTAAATTCTACTATTGGATGTGGTTGTACTTTCTTCATTTCTCCATTCTCTGTGGTAAGAGACCCTAGGCTCAAGGGACTTGGCAGATCTGCTTCTCCTGCATCAGGCTGTTCTCCCCAGCGTTTGTTGCCTGAATACTGTCTAGAATATGTGGCTATGGCAAGAAGATAACATGTGTGAACAAAAAGAAAAGCAAGCAGGAGGCAGATGAGTTCACGGCAAGTTCATGTCTATCTTATTTTGGAAGGAAGTAGGAAAGGAGAACAAAGTTTTCGTGAATAATGCTGCTTATTGAAACAGGCTCTCTTGCTCTGATGTGCTTAAGATGGATGCAGCATCACACTGACTTCAGAGGGAGTGGGAGTATAGCTGACAGTTTTCCATCAGAGTTTTCATGAAGAAGGAGTAAGGTCCTGGCCCCCTCCCTTCCCTGGCCCTCCTCCTCCTGCTGCAGCCTGCCTTTCCTTCAGAGCTTCTGGCTGCTTCAAGGCACTGGGGGAGGAATTCATCAGGGGCTGACAAGTTGCATATGATACTAGCTTCCAATTACATGAAAGGACCTGAACCCCGCGGGATGGTGTATTAGTCCCTCTCTGTGTTCCCAGCCCTAATGCCAAACAATAATGCCTGGATCCAGTAGGCATGTGGTACTCATGGTCATTTGGAGGTGGGCATGTGCCATCTATGGCCACCCTACATCCGTTTCTTCTACCATCACGTGTCTTTCTTCCCTTTTGAAGAACCATTCTCTCCTCGCCACTCATTTGGTTCTGAGGACAAAAGAAGCTGACTCTGAGAGCTCTTAAAATACAACTTTGCTGGCCGAAAGACATTTAAGGAATTGCTCATCATCCCTAATCATCAGGGAAATGCAAATCAAAACAACTCTGAGATACCACCTTACGCCTGTCAGAATGGCTAAGATCAAAAACACTGAAGACACCTTATGCTGGAGAGGATGTGGAGCTAGGGGAACTCTCCTCCACTGCTGGTGGGAATGCAAGCTTGTACAACCACTTTGGAAATCAATATGGCGCTTTCTTAGAAAATTGGGAATCAATCTCCCCCAAGATCCAGCTATACCACTCTTGGGCATATACCCAAGAAATGCTCAACCACACCATAAGAGCACTTGTTCAACTATGTTCATATCAGCATTGTTTGTAATAGCCAGAACATGGAAACAACCCAGATGCCCTTCAACTGAAGAATGGATAAACAAAATGTGGTACATATACACAATGGAATACTACTCAGCAGAAAAAAACAATGGCATCATGAGGTTTGCAGACAAATGGATGGATCTAGAAAAAATCATCCTGAGTGAAGTAACCCAGACTCAGAAAGACAAACATGGTATGTACTCACTCATAGCAGGATACTAGACATGAAACAAGGATGAATTGACTGCTACTCACATCACCAGGGAGGCTACCCGGAAAACAGGACCCCAAGAAAGACACAGGGATCGCCCAATGACAGAGAAATGGAATGAGATCTACATGAACAGCCTGGACATGAGTGGGGGTAATGAAAGGCGAGGGTCAAGGGAAAGAGAGCTTGGGGGAGCGGGAGATCCCAGCTGGATCAACAACAGAGAGGGAGAACAAGGAATAGGAGACCATGGTAAATGAAGACCACATGAGAACAGGAAGAAGCAAAGTGCTAGAGAGGCCCACAGAAATCCACAAAGATACCCACACAACAGACTGCCGGCAATGGTCGAGAGACAGCCCGAACTGACCTACTCTGGTGATGGGATGGCCAAACACCCTAATTGTTGTGCTAGAAACCTCATCCAACTACTGAGGGATCTGGATGCAGAGATCCATGACTAGGCCCTGGGTGGATCTCTGGGAGTCCAATCAACGAGAATGAGGAGGGTTTATATGAGCGAGAATTGTTGAGACCAAGGTTGGATAAAGCACAGGGACAAATAGCCAAATGAATGGAAACACATGAACTATGAACCAATGGCTGAGGGGTCCACACTGGATCAGGCCCTCCAAATGGGTGAGACAGTTGATTGGCTTGATCTGTTTGGGAGGCATCCAGGCAGTGGGACCAGATCTTGTGCTCATTGCATGAGTTGGCTGTTTGAAACCTGGGGCCTATGCATGGTCGCTTGGCTCGGCCTGGGAGGAGGGGACTGGACCTGCCTGGACTGAGTCTACCAGGTTGACCTCAGTCTGTGGGGAAGGCTTTGCCCTGGAGGAGATGGGAATGGGGGGGGGGGGCGTTGGGGGGAAGGTGAGGGGGGACGGGAGGGGGGAGAACAAGGGAATCCGTGACCGATATGTAGAACTGAATTGTATTGCAAAATAAATTAAAATAAATTAAAAAAAAATACAACTTTGCTCAATTAGTGTTAACTACCATGGTATCTTGTACTAAATCATATCATTAGTACTCATGAAATTCCCATGTAACAGGAGAGCATAAATAAAGGAATTTTCAGAGTGCATGAAGGAGCTCTGGGTGAGTTAAAATATAACCCATATTTTGAAAGAACTAAGCATGAACTCTGAAGTATAAAAACTGAGGACATTTCAGAGAAAATGGAACAATAAAAAGGATACAGATGCACAGACTCACACATATGTTTAACTTGAGAACTGATGCAAGAAAGCTGATATTTTCACTAAAAAGAGCCCTAAAAAATAGAACAAGTATTATTATAGAGGAAAGAAAATAGCCAAAGAAAAAGTACAAGACAATGTCTTGGTTTTGAAAAGCATAATTCTGATGAAAAGATGTCCTTCCTATTCTAGTCCTGAGGATTTAAAACAAGGAAAGAAGTCAAACCAAGACACGCCATCATGTTTTTAGACAAGAGGGGCAAAGAGAAAAGTTTTAAGTTTTTAAAACAGGAAAACAGAAGGGAATAGACAGAATGCTGGCGAGATTATGGCACTGGACTCATACTGATGTTAAAAATGAGAAGACATGAGAAATTATTTGACAGTATTGCTAACAATGGCTTCTCAATTAGAGGTCTACACCCGTCCAAAGAACAAGTCACGTATGAGGAGGCACTCACTTTTTTTTCTCAAATTAGCAACTGCTTGAAAAGCTGATGGACAAAACGCTCCACCAGAATGGAGGAGGATACCAAAAAGCTAGAGAAATAAGGTCCTCAAGGAAATAATTCCAGAAGAGACTATAAGCAAAGGTGATTTTTAAGAATAATTTTGAAAGAAAGTCCCTAGAGGGCAACTAAAACAAATTAGAACAGGAAATACAGGAATTTGAGAAATATGAATTGACTCATCCCAGAAGAGCTGTAGAATCAATAGAATAACTGATTTATTTGACTGTGAAAAAAGAGTTACAAGGATAATGTTCTGTGGAGAATGTGAAGTAATTTATAAATAGAAAACCAAACATATGGAAAAAAAGAGACAATTATCAAAAGCAAGAGATTACATAACCAAGAAAAACTAATATAATGTTCCCTGTTCAACAATACCCTGCCTTTCTGGGCCTTAGTTTAGTGCTTGGCACATAGAAAATATTCAATATCATTTTACTGCCCATGCATTCTCATTAAACACATAGTGGTTAGAAACTGCAATACCCCTCTATGAAAATCAGTAGCAATACTTCAGAATGTGTTATTACTTGGAAATTGTGTGTGTGTGTGTGTGTGTGTGTGTGTGTGTGTGTGTGTGTGTGTGTGTGTGTGTGTTTTAAGTTTAAAGTGTGGTTCTATGGAGCTTGATGGACTCACTATCTAATATGACTGGTATCATTATAAAATAAGGGAAATATTAACTCAGAAAAGAACACCATACGACAATGCAGCCATACTCTTATTTGTTATTTTTTCCCTAGAACAATATGTGTGAAGTTTCTTTCCATGCCAGTAGATGTCAAACTCTCATTTTTAAATTTCTATTTTAATTTAAACACATTGAAAATATTGTGTTGTGCTCTAGAGCGCAGGTATTTTAAAATTCACTTACCATTATCCTATTGATGGAGGTTTAAGTTCTTCTCCCATCATCTCACATGAGTATCTTTCCATGTTCTATACGGGATGTGAAACAATTGACATGGAGCATAGCTTTGAACACATCTGATGTGACAACTGGAATTCCAGGTCTGTTCATGTGAGTTTCAGGCTCTGTGGCAATAGTTGAAAAATCTTCTACCCACCTCTGCAAAATTACTTCCCCGAAAGGTAATTCACATACTACCAAGTTTACCCGTACTGCAAATTTACACACACTTGCAACCAGCACTGTTTTAGTGGGTTGAATTTCACCCCTTACTACTAAATCACATTTTCAAATCCTAAACCCCAAGTCTTCAGACATGGACACCTAGAAGAGGTGAGGGAGCATCTTCTCTGAGAGGCTTTGGAGGGTCCACAGCCCAGCAGACACCTTGGTGGTACCACCAAAGACACTGTAAAATTTCAACACCCGTAGCATTGAGAGACTAAAGGACAATATTGAATCAGGTGACTGGTTCAAAAGGCCTCCAAATAAAAAGTGCAAATGAAATCAGGAGCCCCAATTAAACAGAATCTAAATGCTTACATTATTTTTCATTTGTTTTCTTCTTGTATTCCTGGACTGAACCTACAATTCAAGATTTTATTTTCCTTCTTTCTTTAAAAGCACCAGGTAAAGGGGAAGCAAAGACGCATTTCCTAAAACCAGCCGATGTCATAACCTCACCCAAGTCTTATCACTGGAACCTCCCACACCCAGCTTGTCCACGTGGAGCCTCCAACAGCCAGCTTGTCCATGGGGAGCCCCTGATGCAACTAATATCCGGACATAAAATGTGGGCAGTGTGCTCTCCAGATTCCTCTTGGTCCAGACTCCATTCTCTGGGGCCCCCATTATGGTCTGCTCCAGCCTTGTAAGTTCTGTACATAACAGTAGTTATTTGTCCCACCCGTGTGCCTCCATCTTTTGTTTCTCTGTTTCCTTCTTCTTGGCTTTCCATCCTTCTGTGTGACCTTTCACCTACTTCCTTGGTCTCATTCTGAAGTGACTGTCAATGCAAAGACAAGTTTAAGTGCACAAACTGGGGCAAAGGTCCTGAGGTTGGTACCCCTCCTGTCTTGGTCTTAGGTCTTTGTACATGTCTGCATGCCTAAGAGAGCACAGTGGGTAACAAGCACGTTATAAACACCACAATTACAATTTATTACCTGTGTATAGCTAACCTCTTTAAGTTCTTTCTGAGACCAGTAAACAGGCTCACAGAGCATATTAGCCCCACATTGGTCCAAGGAAGAAAATAATGACCCACAATGTGCTTGGGCTCTATATTTTCCCCACAGATCTCTGCAAGAAGCAATCTAGATTATTGTAGAGTATGCAGAATATTCATGGCATAACTCAATTCTCATAATCTTTTCACTGTTTAATGCCTGTCACTTACCTCCACCCAGTCTTAAAAATCTGGGTAATCAAGGAGAATGAGGATATGAAGGGGAAGAAATGCTAGACAGCATGAGAGAGAACGTGTGACAAGGAAGAGGATGAAAAGCAAAACCAGATAGTAAATCAAGAGTTAACAGAGAAAGAATGTGTGGGGGGGATTGGTTTGAGATTCCCTCATGTGTTAGTGTATCTTGTTTATAACATTTAAATGTAACACCCTGTTGTTGTTGTTTGTTTTTGGCTTTTTTGGGGGGTCCTGCCACCCAGCTCCCAAATAAATCACACATGGAGGCTTATTCTTAATTATGAATGTCTGGTCTTAGCTTGACTTGTTACTAGCCAGCTTTACTTAAATTATCCCATCTATCTTTGCCTTTGGGGCTTTCTCTTTTCTTTTCCTGTATATCTTTCTTTGTTTCTTACTCCCTGGCTTGCTGTGTAGCTGGGTGGCTGACCCCTGGGTCCTCCTCCTTCTCTCATGCTCTTCTCTCCCAGATTTCTTCTATATATTCTCTCTGCCTGCCAGCCTTGCCTATCCTTTCTCCTGCCTTGCTATTGGCCATTCAGTTCCTTATTAGACCATCGGTGTTTTAGACAAGCACAGTAATACAGCTTCACAGAGTTAAACAAATGCAGCATAAAAAAAAGTAACACACCTTAAAATGATATTCCCTAACACCCTGTGGTGTTGAAAATGGGAATATCATGTGGTGACCCATACTTCTGCTACTTACCATATGTTGCTCGAAGTCTAAGCCTGTCTGCTCCCTCCAGTCTCAATCAGGTGGGTGTCATGTGCCGAGGAGCTGCTTTATAAGCTAAAGTAGGTCCAGACAGCAAAGGTTTGATTCCTAAGTAGCTGAAAGAAATTATGCTAAAGAAGTAAAAATGGTACATTTGGTGTCACAGAGCTAAAGCAAAGAGATATTGAATTATTTAATTTAGAAACAACAACCAACAAACCCATGCCATGCCATCTGCAATCAACGTGCACCATTACAGTCACACAGATGGCTGCTTCCAACAACCAGCAAACCCATGCCATGCTACCTGCAATCAAGGAGCACCCTTACAGTAACACAGATGGCTGCCTCTGGGAAAGTTCCAGGCCAGTGGTTTGCAAACTTAGCCACATACTGTTATCACCTGAAAGCTTAAAAAGGATTTTCAATGCCTAGGTTGTACCTCAGACCAACTAAATGGAGAGATTATTGTTTTTAAAGGTCTCCAGAAGACGCCAATGAGAAGCCAAGTTTACCAAACTGTCTTGGATAACCCTGTAAATCAAATCAGTGTTGGGGTGGGAGGCTCTGTAGAGAGGCAGCATGTCAAGTAGCTCAAGAAATGACTGCACCTGTTGGGTAAGTGAGGTAATGATTCGGGGACTGTCATAGGGCTATGAAAAGCCCATCTGTTTGAGAGGACAGTTAATCAAGTGACAGGCTTCAAAGCCGACTTCCACATTCCCTGACATATGGGTTGCCCCAAGTGTTTGATGGTCTTAGCTTATTGGTGGCTGTTTATGGCCATCTGCTGCCAGCAACTATGGAGGAGAATGACATGCTACCAGGCAGCTTCCTTTTATATTTGTGTCTCTACTAAATGACCTCATTTCTCAAACACTTAAAAAATACAGCTGTTATGGTTTGAGTTGGTTCTCCTAGTTTCATATGTTAAAAATCTTATGCCCCCAGTGCCTCAGAATGTATTGTTATTTATAGGTGATACTGTTGTGGCTGCATTTCGAGACCCCCAAGCAAGACCACCACAGAGCCAATATCCGATGCAAAACACAAAGGGGTTTATTGATAACAAGCAAGACCAGGCTTGGTCTGCATCCAACACACTGGCTAGCCAGGTGAAGGAGGACGGCCCTGAGCTCTCAGGGTGAGGAGTTTTTAAAGAGAAAAACTGCAAACAGGGAAGTGCAAGCCTTGGCGTCATATAATTGGGTGAGGGTATGTAACCTTTGAATTTACTGGTTGGGGGTTACAGTTATCATTTTGCGGCAGGCCTGAACAAGTCCCCAGCTTTGTCCTTGAGCTGCCATGGGGGCTGACTGGCCTCACACATTTACATTGACCCATGTACATACCTCTAAGTTGGTAAGGGGTCCCAGACAGTAAACAAACTAGCTGAACCTTGAGCAGTAAGAGTACGTGCAGAAAGGGAGCTACTGCAAGGACTATGTCTTTTGTTCATGGCCCTCCAAGAAACTGCTTGCTTAAGTTTCAGGAAACTGAATTTGAGGCCTCATCTCTGAGAGAAGACCGACTGCCTGTTTTGGCACCTGCTTGGTCCTTTCAATACTTAAGATGAGGTCATCCTGGAATAGGGTAAGTCCTCAATCAAGTATGACGGGTGCCACCTTCGAAGAAAGAATTTGGACAGAGGGCAATGTGTATAAGAAGAAGGCATCTGAAGATGTATACAGGGCATAGAATAATGCTCCCAGCAGTTATAAAGATGTACCAAACATGTCCAGCATACCACCAGAAGCCAGGCAAGAAACAAGGGCCAGATCTTCCCTCAGAAGAAACCAACCCTACCAATGATACTTGAATCTTGAACCTCCAACTTCCAGACCTGTGAGATAACAAATTTGTAATTTAAAGCCATCATTTTGTGAGCCTATGTTACAACTTACGTTATGGGAAACTCATGCAACATCCAACCCTGGTGAAACCAGCACTGCACACTAATCAGAGCATGAAGTCTGAGATGTGGGGAGAAAGGACCCTGAACTGATCAAAACCTCAGTTCCAATCCTGACTTTAGACCAGTCACTCAAACAGCCATGCCTGGCCCCACTTGCTCCCTGTATGCAGGGTCTGGGCCATTGAAATGACCCAAGGGAGAATTGTCCTGTATGTATACAACTTACAAGTTTGTACAGGGCCCTGCTCCTGCCTTGACTCATCTACAATGCCCTTTTGAAATTCTTAATAATTTTTTAAAGATGTTTTAACTTTATTTTTTAACAAAGGCCTTTTTTCCCCTTTGTACTGGGTTCCACAAATTGTGTCACTAGTTGTATAGCTTGGTCCCCTTGTGGGATTCATAACAGTGAGAGCAGGGGACATTTTTGACTCTTTTGCTGGCTTTTGGGACCTTATTCCTCATACTGGGTCACCTTGCCCAGCCTTAGTGCAAGGGGAGGTGCTTAGTCTTACTGCAACTTGATATGCCATGTTTTGTTGATATCCATGGGAGGTCTGTGCTTTCTTAATAGAAATGGAGGAGGAGAGGGTGGGGGGTAGAGGGGAGGTGGGGTGACTGAGAGGAGAGGAGGGATGGAAAACTGTAGTTGGGATGTTAAATGAATAAATAAATTTAAAAAAATAATAGAAAACAAATTGTGTCACTACCTGCTTACCAGCTTTTTCCCTTGGTGAGATCCAGGTTACTTTCCTGAAGGATTTTTCATATATTCATTCTTCAACCATATATTCATTTTTCATATATTTCATACATTCATTTATATATTCTACAAGTTCTGTTCCATTAGAGAACCCTGCCTAATACAACAAATAAATGATAGAGCAGAAGATATGGAAACTGACATATGCAGTCTTGGCATATGCAGTCAAGCTTTGAGCCTGTGCTGACCACTTGTGACTGAGAGTCATAAGGGTTGCACACCCCTTAAGACTTCTAAAGGAGGCTGGATGCCCTGCTCTTTTATTAATATGGTTGTTTTACTTACAATGCCTTTTGAAACTGACATAGGTTTAGATGTTCCGTAGAATAATGGGAAGTTGGGGAATTGTCCCCACTTCTTCACATCCTCCATGAATTATAATTACATATCCTTGCCTTTTCTGTGAGCAGCTAAACTGTGTCCCATTGCGGCCAGAGTGACCTTCTGTGCACATCTGTATTGACTTGGCTATGTGACTTGTCATGACTAATAGAACTTACATAGAACTATTAATGTGTTACTCCCCAGCTGAAACCTTAAGGATAGTTAGGGTTATCAACTTAACAAAATTTATGACCATCCACAAGACAGGTTTTTGGCCTTCTTTGGAAGGTTATCTTGATTGTGTTAATTGATATGCCCACTGTGAGTGACATCATTTTCTGGATGGCATCCTGAACTATTTAGGTGGATGGGGGCTTGGGAGGAGTATCCATTATTTCCTGTTTCCTTATTGTGGATTCTGTGTGATCAGATGCTTAAGCTCCTACCTCTAGACCTCTGTATCATGAAGTACCTTGAACTATGAGCCTGTCTGTAACACAAATTGCTAAATTGTCTTATAATAAAAAAAACCAGAGCCAGATATTGGGGTCAAAGCTGAAAAACCAGAGAAATAAAACAAACCGGCCATGTTCTTACCTCTACGAAATCCTCAGCCTACAGAGAGTGAGTTCCTGTTTTCTCACACCTTATATACCTTTCTGTGTCCTGCCATATTATTTTCTGGGAGTAAAGGCATGTGTTACCCCTACCTGGTTCTGTTTCTCTCATGTAGCCCAGTGTGGCCTTAAACTCACAGAGATCCAAATGGATCTCTGACTCCGAAGTGATAGGATTAAAGGTGTGTGCCACCACTGTCTGGTCTCTATGTCTAATCTAGTGGCTGGCTCTGTCCTCTGATTCCACAATAAGTTTATTAAGGTACACAATATATCACCACATTTCCCCTTTTTTTTGTCTAAAATAATAAAAGGTTATAACTAATATAAGAAAAACTGTATACAATAAGTACAATAAGTATATACAATATATACAGTCAAGAATCACATTAACAATGTCTAGTCCATTAACGTTTGACAGATTAAGACAAAAAAATCCATTATTTAGCCTATTTTGATGAGTCCAAAATGTACCTAATTCACTTTCTATTCTAACTTGTATTACCAACTGAAAACTATCTTTTGATGCCTTTCAAATTTATACACTTATACACCTCTTAGTGAGTTTCTTTTCTGAATTTCTTAACAAGGAAAACTCTAACTATCTAATCTTCAGATCACTCAGAGACCTGAGAAGGAAATAATATTAACTGAGTAAGCAGGAAGTGGAAACAAGCAACTTTTTTTTGTTATTATAAGACCATTTAGCAATTCGTGTTACACCTGTCCTGGCTAGTTTCATTCAACTTAATACAAGCTACAGTCATCTGAAGGGAGGGAACCTCAAGTGAGAAAATGCCTCCAGAAGATCCAGTTATAAAGCATCTTCTAAATTAGTGATTGATGGGGAGGGCCCAGCCCATTGTGGGTTGTGCCATCCCCAGGGTGGTGGTCCTGGGTTCTATAAGAAAGCAGGTTGAGCATGCCATGGGGAGCAAGCCAGTAAGCAGCACCCCTCCATGGCCTGTGTATCAGCTCCTGCCTCCAAGTTCCTGCCCTGTTTGAGTTTCTGTCCTGACTTCCTTCAATGAAGGACTACAATGTGAAAGTGTAAATCAAATAAACCCTTTTTACTCCAAGTTACTTTGATCATGGTGTTTCATTGCTACAATAGAAAACCTAAATAACACAGAGTCACAATAAATCCATTGTCCTAAGCTGCTTTGTCAGGAACAACAGGAAGAGGAACTAAGACAGAGCTCTTCTCTTACCTTGCGGCATCTCTGCCCTCTGTCATGAAACAGCCCCGATGTCGAAGCTGATCCAAAGACAACCAGAAGACAGATAGGATAAGCCCAATGTCTAGTTTGGATTCAAAATGGATCCTAACTCAGTCTAGAGAGTCATGCTCTCTCTACAAACACATAACACTTAAGAGTCCGATGTATTTGCCCATTTTATTCTGAAGATATTTCTTCTGGCTAGACCTTGAAGCCACACTGCCCTTTCACAATTTCACTTCTGGGATGACATTAAAATGGCTTATATTTTCTTAAGTTATAGAAACTGCAGCTCAGGCAGGTGAGAGACATACACTGGCCAACCTGGGTCCTCACAGTCCAAACTGAAGGCAATCACAGGCCTGTCTGGTGCCAGAAGGTGCCGTTATGATGAGCAAATATATGGTGGAGAAATGGGAGAGAAAGAGAAGCAGAATAGTTCCACATGATTGCTGTGGAAAGAGGCAGAACTGAAGAACTGAAGGCAGTGAGGAACAGCCTGATGTGGGTGGCCTGCTTGCCACCTGGGGCCAAGGTGACATCTAGGCCTGGGCTGCTGCTGAGGACCATGTCTGAGTCCATGGTTCTACCGCAGCCAGGGTCTGTGTTGATATCCATGACCCATATTGCCATCAAAGACCACAAGGATGCCCAGAGTCTGAGCCACTACCAGTGGTCATTTTGGTGTCCAAGGGCCATGACATCACCAGGGCCAAGCTGATCTACATAACTTGTACTGCCACTTGGGGACATGATGATATCCGGGCCTGGGCTGCTGCATAGGACCATGTCTGGGTCCATGGTCTTGCTGTGTCTGGGGTCTATGTTGATGTCCCTGGCCCATGTTACCGTAGGGGTTCATAGGAGCCATGCATATTGAAATCAGGAAGATGATGCTGAGCCAGCCCTGCCCTTCACTGGCCCTGGGATAGCTGGCCTTGCCCCTTACTGGACATTGCAGCAGGAGAGCTGACCCCAGCCCTCATGGAATAGCTAGCTCCCACACTTAGGAGAGATGGTCCCACCTCTCACCATGGGAAAGCTAGCCTAGCCCAGATGGGGTCTGTACCTGACACCTGAGGGAGTCAGTACCAGTGGCCTAGACTGATTAGCTCAGCTACCACCCAGACCCACAACCTGGCCTTGGTGGTCAACCTGACATCTACCCTATCTAGGACCTGCTGGAGGGTGAAGGGACTGGTCCCACAGAATAATATCCACAGGATCTCTGTGACTCAGGGCAATAACAAGATATCTGAGAGGAGTTTCAGCAAGGGTCCAGTGATGATGGTGTGCCAGAGGCCTTGAACTGGACCGGACTAATGACTCATTGCAATGAACATTTGTAGGTGGGGCTGATTGGACAAAAGGGTATAATGCATGACACCACAGCTTTCAATGCTTTGATTTACTTTGTTTTGTTTTTAATTAATTTGGGGGGCTTCCTTTTTGGGGAGGGATGCTGCAATGGTGAGGTGAACATGGAGGGATAAGGAGGTGAGCAGGATTGAGGTGCATGATGTGAAATTTCCAAAGAATAAATAATGTTAATATATATGTATATATATTCTGATTGTGCTTTTAAATGAGTAAGCATCAAAGGAAGAGCATCTTTGCTGTGCAGAATTATCATAGTAAAAGCTGGCTGATGGGTGTCATTTCCTCTGGTGAGCTTGCATGGCTTTCCCTGGTCTGACCCCTCCTTAGTTCCCACCTTCCTCATCTTATCTCTCCCTCCATCACTCAATTCTTTCAGTCTAAGAAAGTGTCATATCTGATGTCTTATTTCTGAGGCATTCACACATTCTCTCTTCCATTTCCCTATCCAAACAGTTCCTCACTAAGTGCTAATTCCACCAGAAGTCTCCTTCAAAGGTTCTCAAGGAAATACCATCTCACAGCCCTCTGACAGTGTTGATCATCACTGGTGTGTTCGGAAAATATATGGAGATGTTTTTCATTGTATTTTATTTTCCTCCCTGTAGAATTACCAGAACAGAGAGACAGCAACGCTTTGCCTTCCACACTGACTCCCCCACCTCCATGGAAAGTAAACCCTTGGAGCCTCTAAAGCACTTCCCTCTGCTGCTGTCATCATAACGGAAAGCAGAACCTGTGTTTTCTCTGTCTTCTGAGGTCATAAGCCATTATGCTGTCATGAAAGAAGACTATGGTTTCAAGGTCGACCCGTGGGAAATCCCTCCAGATCGAAGATGGACAGAGGCTTCATGAGCCTCTCTGTGACCATTTCAATAGAGAGGGGCTGGGCTTCAGCCTCTGACTCCCAGCCATCTACATTCTTTCTTAGGTGTCATGGAAACAGCAACTCTAGTAGTTTCAGAGAATATGTAGGCTTGGAAAATGGGGTAGTTGACAGAAAGCATGGCATATCATAAAGGTCAGAGGAGACTGTGTTCTTATATTCTGTTGCTCTGTGACAAATTGCCACAATTTAATGGCTTAAAATGACACAAATGTGTTATCCTATGGTTACAATGGGTCAGGAGTCTGGACTAAGCTTGCATATATTCTCAGCCAAAAGTCTTGCAAGCTAGAATTTTGAGGTCCTTTGAAAAGTCCCACACTAGGAGAGTGACCCCTAATGGTGTCTAAGACAGAATTACCTGTCACCCAGATGGACCTTAACCCAATGTACAGAAAATGTATGTCTGACTCATTGTGTCCTTATATGGAGACTTTAAATTGAAACTAGCTACATTTTAAGTCTTGCTTTCCTAGTACACTGTGAGGTCTTGGAAGCTGAGATATTTCTTTGTTGTACACTTTTTATCTACAGTGCTTTGCACACTGCCTGGAACATCTAGAGACGGATTCAATAAATATTTGCCAAATGAGTGAATGACTTTTGGGTGTTCAACACATGCTTGCTGAACTAAATGGAACCAGTTCTAATAAACATTATGTAATATATGAAGGGTGGACATCACTGTAGCTGTTGAGTAAAGACGAACTTGGAGACAAATCAATAGTAACAGCAAAGCTAGAACTAGTCATTCTACCCAGAGGAAATATTCCTTTCTCTTTGAAATATGGCCCTGAAACTGTAAACTCTGACACATTCTAAACCATGTGACTCACTCCTTTCATCTTCTAGGATCAAGACGGTTGGGGAATGAAAGACAAATAGGAACTCTTTATTAGATGGTATTTTCTGGTGAAATCCCAGATTTTCACACATTGCAGTACTCAAATTTTCTGAAGGGTAAGTCTTGCTATGTATCCCAGGTTAGCATCAGATGTTGATTTGTTACTTTTCTTGTTGCTGTGACCAGATGCCTGGTTGGAACAACTTAAGGACAGAGGGGTTTTTGTTCAGAGTTTGAGAGAGCACAATCAATCATGGTAGAAGGCATGGCCGAGTTCATGGCTGTAGAAAGTGGGGCTGAGACTTCTCTAGGACTTATTACACCTCTGAAGGCCAGAAGCAGATAGTATGGACTTCACTGGGGCCATCTATAACCATTTATCCTAGCCTTAGAACATGTGTCCATTAGACACCATGCCTCAAAGGTTCCAAAACCCCCTAAAAGGGCCACCAGCTGGGGACCAGTTCAAACACATGAGCCTGTGGGGACATTTTATGTTTAAACCATTACAGTATCCAGACTGGCCTTGAACTTGCTATGTATCACAGGTTGGACATGAATTCTTGATCTTCTTGCTTTGGGCTCCCAAATGCCAGGACTACAGCAACTCTAAAGTTTTAATCTAAAGTTTTAAGATTTATTTTTATTTGTGTGTGTGTGTGTGTGTGTGTGTGTGTGTGTGTGTGTGTGTGTGTGTGTGTGTGCATGCATTTGCTCACAGAGGCCAGATGAGTGCATGAGATGCCTTGGAGCTGGTGATATAGCTAGTTGTGAGCCACCTGACCTGGTGCTGAGAACCAAAACTCTAGTCCTCTGCAAGAGCAGCAAGTGCTCTTCACCACTGAGCCATCTCTCCTGCTCCCCAAATTCGAATTTTTTTTAAACATTAGGTTGTCTATAAATGTCTTTAGTTTTCAGGGGTTAAGAATTTCTATGCCTGAAAATGGTGACTTAGTTCCACAACCCCACTAACCAAGAAACCGAAGTGACATATTTCCAATCAATACTTTTATTAACATGTTTTAAATTTGCAGGCATCTTTGCCCTAAAACTGGCACTCTATATTTAGCCAACATCGTGAGAGACATCTGCCCAATGAGGCAACAGCATTCCTCATAACTGATACGTCATCTGTTTATTTTGGTAGCTGAGCATCTTCTGGAACAACAAACAGACACCTTTGGAAACAAAGATGGAATTTTGGGTATCTTAACTGATAGGGGTTGTCTAAAATTAAAGGCATTGCTAATTAACTGGAACACAGAATTAGAACCTACAGTTTGGGAAATATGTGAGAAAAAGAATGTTTGTCAGGAGCTTCAGCACAGGGGAGCGAGGCTGGCTGCTTCAAGGACATGTAATTGATTATAAGAATTATATAATGTTGTTAAATCTCATTAAACAAAAACCTGCTAGGTTGTGCCTGAATTAGATCATTTGTTTGCTCAAAAGTTGGCATCTAATTCTCTTTCACTGTTAAAATTATGAATAGAACTAGTGGTTTAAAAAAAACTACCTGTGGGAGGGGATACTGAAATTGACCATGGTTTCATTTATTTTTAATCAACCAATCACTACTTCTTAAGGAAAGTACATCTGAGTTCAAAGGAAGCACTTGTCTTTAGTATCCTTGGATAGACACAGAATGAGTTGCTTGACACGTTGAAAACTACTTGCAGAAGTTGTACTACAAGTACTGGATCCAGAAACTAGTGTTCTTCCAAAAAAGCCGTTTAGATGAGGGGAAGGAGTAAGATGTAAGTGTCTTTAGACATGATTTTCATCTGAGGTCCACTGTTAGCACAGAGAGAACTGCAGTGAAGTCTCCCTTGCTGGTGAGAAGGAGAGTACTCCTGCCTCCTTTCCTGAGACCATAAACACCATGAACATTATTAAAGAGTGGGAGTCACAGGAAAGCATGGTGCTTAGAAAACAAACTGTATGTCCATCAGGATGAGACTCGGCCACTAGCTAGCATGTGGCCATGGACAGGCTATATAACCACTCTTCCTCAGCAGCAATGGTGATGATGTCGGATGTGATGTATGTGTGGACTGGCTGATCTCTGTATATCAGAAGCCCATGATAATTATGACTTACAATAAACAAGATGAACCCAAGCCAAACTGTGCACACTAAGATGGTTGCTCCACTCCAAGAGATGTTTGGGGATCAAAGATCTTTCTGGGTGCACTGCCATGCCTGGGCTATTGTTCACTGGCAAAAATGGTTTAATAGTACATGCCACCTCCAAACAACAGGATGGGAAAAAGGAGGGTAAAGAGCATAGGGACATGGCATTTCTGCTCACACTCATTGGCGTGAAACTTTGAAACATGGCAGCCTATAACTTTAAGAGAGATGAGATCATATAGACTTTATTCTGGGGGCCCACAAGCCCAGCTAAAACTCAGGGTGTCCACCACCATGAAGAAGGAGACGTCTCCTGTGGGGGCACAGCTGCTGGTGTCACAGCATCCAAGTTTTTTAGCATGTGAGTTGTCAGTAAGAGGTCACTATTGTTCTATGACAGGTCCATCAAATACGGCAAACATTTTGAAAGGGAGAAGAACCTGGGACATTCTCCCTGCCTGAGTCTCATCTAGTCTGCCGGCTGTCTTTCCTTTCTCAGTAGCTCTCTAAGCACATAGAGGTCAGGAAGACCTACATGTGGCCCACATGAAACTATTTCCTGAGTTCTTCGTTGCAACATGCCTTCCAACAGAGGAGCAACGTCCACCTCAGCAAACCATGACAGACAGTTGTGAATACTGAAATATGACTATTTCCCTTCCTTTCTCCCTCTCTCACACATATATGTTTTATTACAATGAAATGTTGTAATTTCATTATAATATTTAAAAATAAAACTACATTTTTGGAACATAGTCATTGTCATATGTATTTACAGTGATTTTGGCTTTTCAGCGTATGATTTGATTTGCAAGAAGAGTCATCCTGGGTTAAGAAAATCAAAGGAAAATTGCCAATCTGAGATGACAAACATGTCAGTCAACTTCTTTACATGTTCTGGGTTTTAACACTGAAACTCCCATAACCCAGGATACCTCCAAGTTCAGGAAAATCTGAGATGACTGACCATCTGAACATCAGAGGAGCTTTACAGATACAGCCATCTCTCCCATAGCTAAGAAAGGGGTTCAGATAATTTCCTCAGTACTGCATTTAGCCAACCTGGCTTTGTCTCACAGCCACTGTTATCACCAGAAGAAAAGACATGGTAATTGGCCAGCCTGACTTACCCAATCACTTCTCCATGCAGACTGTGAGGTTAGCTCCACTGGAGTTTTAAGGATGCCGGTTCCCGGATAATCACAAGGATATCAGTGTCAGCAGAATGGAGCAGGGTATTCCGTGTACAAAAGTGCTGTCATCCATGACAACAGGAGTCCCTCCTCTCTCTCCTTCCCCTCTCTTCTTTCCCTCCCCTGCCTTCTTTTTCCTTTCTCTCTTATACGATAAATATTGTACCATATTTGAAGGTCAGCTGCTTATGGTGCTCAATGTTGGACAGCTCTTAAATTCAAGAAAGGGAGAATTAAATAAACTCTAATAATGTGTGATGTGCTTGGGGGTGCAGATAGGTAGACAAGTAGACAGACAACTAAATAAATAGATGAATTAATGTTATAATAGGGAAATATACAAAATATTCTGTGAAACCAGTACAGTGAAAACAGTACAGACGAACTTCTGAAACAGATGAGGACTCAGGGATGTTCACAAAGGAGACCTTTGATGAGTCTGAATGATGCAGTTTGTGACGTTTTCTGGCATGAAATGGTTCCTAGGCAATCACAGCTGTGGTATTCACTATTATGTGTGTGCTCACCTTCACACTTCCCTAATGGAATTTAAAAAATTCTATGAATAATAATTAGTAAATCTAGTAGATACAGTCATTGTCTTCTGTTGTCATTAGTTTTTATCATCTATAAAGAAGTGTATAGAGTTATTTCTTCTTTTCAAATATATGTGTATGTACATGTTTATGTATATGACTTGTGTGTATATATATTTGCATGTGCGTGAGTGTGGGAGCATGTGGATGTAAGAAGAACAACCTCAAGTGTCTATACTCACCTTCCCTTGCTTGAGACAGAAATTGTTATTGTTCTCTGCTGCATATTCCAGGCTAGGTGTACCCTGAACTTCCAGTGACTACTCTCTCTGCCTCCCATCTCTGTTAAAAAAAAAGCTGGAATAAAGACAAACACTGCTATGCCAGACCTTGCATGAGTTCTAGGAGTCTGAACTCAGCTCTTCATGATTGCTACACGGTAAGTACTTTACTCCTGGAATCATCTCCACATCCCAGACACATCTGTTTCTTGGGCTCTTGGAAACAAGTAATTTCTCTCTGCAAAGATTTCAGGTGTTTGAGTTTTACAGTTGATGAAAGATGTTTGATGGTGAGATTCTAGTTTTTCAGGCATCGTTGTCTTAGGAGACCGTGGTGTACATGTGATAAGAAGCAGGTTTACCTGGTATCTAGATCAGATACTGAACATTTTGAATCTCCAAGGGAAAGAGGCAACCACATGTCTCTGAACTAAAGCAGAATCATTTTATCCCATTATCTGAAGTCATGTTGGACCTGGAGCAATGGCTGACCTGAGGCCAGTGACAGAGCTAACAGAGGATCTTCTGTGATCAGATGGGCTTTCTGAGTTCTACTATTGATAGATTTCTTGGACAGTCTCTTCCTCATGAGTGAAATTTTGTTT